GCCGGAATTGGCATCGGGCTGGACCCTTTGGGAGCTGGGAGGGTCCTGGGCTTAGCCGGTCCCGCCCCCATCGGGGCCCCTTGCCGGGCGGGGAGGGTCTAATTGTAGCCCGGCCAGGGGGTTATTTTGGGACCGGGCAGGTGGCTTAAAGGGGGAGGGGGAGACCCCCCCCTTTTGCCTTGCCATGGAAATAACTCCAGGTTAACTGCTGGTGGTGCCCCCCCAGGAAAAAGGAGCCCCCTCCCTGGACAGTGTGGCCCCCAGAGCACCCCAACCTCCCCCAGCGACCCCTGGCCAAATTCCCCCTCCCCTGCCAATCCCCTCCCAGCCTCCAGGTCCATGTGCCCCCTCACAGCCCCCCAGAGGCCCCCGGCCAAATGCCCCCCCCAACCTCCAATAGGGCAACCAGATTCCTGATTTTCTATTACCCCCACCCCCGTCCCAATTTTTCACTCTTGCTATCTGGTCTCCCGAACCCCCCAGCCCCCCTCCTCTGCCCCCCAGCCCATGGCACCAGCTGTTCCAGCCGGAGGACAATGCTGGGACCCAAACAAATGGGGATAAATGGGCTGGGGCCCCTCGAGGCCGGGAATTGGAAGGAGGTTCTGAGCCCCCCTGGGAGGCAGGTTTTGGGACAAGCTGAGAACTTCCCAGCTCATTTCACGCGTGTATTCCCCAGAACTCCCCCCTGGAGACTGCTGCTTTGTGGCTGGATCGGGGCCAGCGCCCCCTAGAGGGGAAAGGCCCCTTGTCCCATTCCCCGCCCCCCTGAGCCGGCCAACCCCCCCCGCTCTGTGACCGGATTGGGGCCGGTGCCCTCTAGAGGGGAAAGGCCCCACGCAGTGCTGGGTTCAAAGCCTGTTAGAGGTCACAAGTGAAATGAATTTCCCAATCTCAAGAAAACCCACTAAGGGACCTGCAGAACCAGAGCAGAGTTCAGCCAGACTGGCCCTCTCAGCCCCGGGCTGGGCTGGCAGGGGGCTGCGGGTCAGGAGCGAGGGGCACCGGAGGAGCTGGCGGGTGAGGGGTGGGAACTGGCACAATCCGCTGTTTACCAGCCTGGATCCGTGTTCCCTTTATGGCCCGACTCTGTCGGTGCAAAGCTCCTGGCGGGATCATGGCCCATGAAGAGCAGCAGCTGCCCTGGGGCTCGGTGGACGCAGAGATCTCTGCTCCGGTGCCTGACCCCCCAATGACCCACCCAGGACCCCCAAACCCTGCCCGATCCCCCAATGATCCCCCAAACCCCACCTGATCCCCCCAATGATCCCCCAAACCCCGCCTGATCCCCCAATAATCCTCCAGATCCCCAATAGCCCACCCAGCACTCCCAAACCCCGCCTGATCCCCCCAATAATCCCCCAAACCCCGCCTGATCCCCCAATAATCCTCCAGATCCCCAATAACCCATCCAGGACCCCCAAACCCACCTGATCCCGTAATGATCCCCCAGATCCCCCAACCCCACCTGATCCCCCCAATAATCCTCCAGATCCCCCAAACCCCACCTGATCCCCCCCCAATAATCCTCCAGATCCCCAATAACCCACCCAGGACTCCCAAGCCCCACCTAATACCCCAATAACCCCCCAGATTCCCCCAATAACCCACCCAGGACCCCCCAACCCCACCTGATCCCCCCAGATCCCCCAAATCCCCAATAACCCCCAAATCCCCCAAACCCAACCCAATCTCCCCAATTACTCCCCAGATCCCCCAAACCTGACCGGATCCCCCCAATTACCCCTTCAGAACCCCCAGATCCCCCCAAACCCGATTGGATCCCCCAATTCCCAATAACTTTCTTATGCTCAATTTCCCCCTCCCATCTCTGCCCTGTGCAGCCCCCCCCACCAGGTGCTGACCCCCCTTTACCCACCCTCCTGTCTGGTCTTGGGAACCCCAATGGGGGCAGGGACCTGCTGCAGCAGCCGGTGCTCAGTGGACTCCCAAGCCAGCGGGGCGGGGCGGTGGAGGGGGGGGAACTCTGGGGTCCTGGCATCGGCTCTCCCTCAGACAGACACGCTGCGTCCAACTGCTACGGGAAACCCCCCATATGGAATCACAGAGCCACAGACCCCGGAGGTTGGAAGGGCCCGCGAGGGTCAGCTAGTCCAGCCCCTGTCAAGAAGCAGGATGGGTTGGGTCTAAACCAGGGGTTCTCAACCTTCATTGCACCGCGACCCCCTTCTGACAATAAACACTGCTACATGACCCCAGGAGGGGGGGCCGAAGCCTGAGCCTGCCTGAGCCCCACGGCCTTGCGGGGGAGGCAAAGCCAAAGCCAAAGCCTGAGCCCCACGCAGGGGGCCGGGAACCTCAGTCCCGCAGCCCGGGGCTGACGTCCTCGGGTTTCGGCTTGAATCCTGGGCGGGGAGGGTCGGGTTTTGGCCCTGGGCCCCAGCAAGTCTAAGCCAGCCCCGGCGACCCCGTTAAAGTGGGGTCCCGACCTGCAGTTTGAGAACCGCTGACAGATGCCGTCCAGCCTCCTCTCGAAACCCTGCAGGGAAGGAGCTTCCAGGACCCCGCGAGGCGTCTGGTCCATTGGCTGACGGGCCTCACAGCTGGGGAGTTTGTCCTGAGGTTTAATCTAAATTGCTCTGCTACAGTTTGAACCTGTTGCCCCTTGGCCTGCCCCCTGGGGCGAGAGAGAACAACTTGTCTCCATCTTCTTCACGGCAGCCTTGCCAGTATGTGAAGACCCCGGTCACGTCCCCCCCATAATCTCCTCTTTCCCAAACAAACCATGCCCAGTTCCTGCAGCCTTTGCTCCTAGGACTCGTGCTCCGTCTTTGTCGCTCGCCGCTGGGGCCTTCCAGTTTCTCTCCATCTGGCCTACTCCGTGGTGACCAAAACTGGACGCCGTCCTCCAATAACCCACCCAGTTCCTGCGCCTCCCGGGACTCGCTTGCTCTGGCTCTGCTAATGCAACCGAAAATTGCATTTCCTTTTCCTTGCACCAGCTTCGCATTGCTGGCTCCTGTCGAGGTTGTGACCCGCCCGACTCCCAGCTCCTTCTCGGCAGGGCTGCTGCCCGGCCAGTTCTCCCCCAGCCTGGGCTGGGGCACGTGGCGTTTCTTCCCTCGGCAGAGCGCCTGCCGTTAGTCTGGGTTGAATTTCATTGTGTCGTCTACAGCCCAGTGCTCCAAACTATCGGGGTCCCTCTGGATTTCAGCTCCACCCTCCAAAGCGTTGGCAACTCCCCCCAACCCCGTCCCCCGGCTTTGCGTGGTCTGCGGACTTGATCAGCCTCCTCCCTAGTCCTGCACGCCGGGGATTGATGCAGATGTTAAACACCACGGGGCCCAGAACAGCCCCACTTGGGACCTCCCTCCGATCCCACGTCCTTCCATGCGCAGTTACGCCTTCTTTGCAGTTATTTAACCAGCTCTGTACCCACTTCACGGCCGCAGTTCCCCAGCGGACCCGTCAGACCGTCCTGTCCCGGAGGTCACAGCGGCCGGGTCTCTGACGGGCCGGGACTTCTTCGGCATCAGTCCCGCGCGGCGGCTGGGCTGGAGCGGCCGTCAGCCCCCACCCAGGAGTTGCACAGGACCGGAGCAGTGGCTAGTGGTCAGCCCCTGCGGCTGGAGCAGTGGCCGGTTGTCAAGGCCCCGGAAAGGCTCCCACGGTTAGTGGCCCCCGCCCGCCCCTGCTGGATGTTTTTAGTAACGGGGTCAAGTCACGGGCTTCCGTGAATTTTAGTTTCTTGCCCGTGACCCGTAGGTGACTTTTACTGAAAATACCTGGGACAAAATCTCAACCTTAGTCACGAGGGCCGGGGCCGGGAGCCCGGCTGCGTTCCAGGCCTGTTACGTCCCCCGCATCCCCCCTCCTGCAGACCCGCTCCCCTGGCAAGGCAGGAACCTGGCTGGTTTGGCCCCGGGAACTCGCAGACTCAACGTTCGATACTTGCGCGAGTAGCTTCCCCAGGGATCGAGGTCAGGCTGGTCTAGAGCTCCCCAGCTCCACAGGGGCATTATGATAGCCCCTCCCCAGCCAGGGACCCCCCCCCCCGGCTACCCCCTCCCCAGCCAGGGACCCCCCTTCTAGCCAGGAAACCCCCCCCCCAGCCAGGGACCCCCCCCGGCTACCCCCCTCCCCAGCCAGGGACCCCCCCTCTAGCCAGGAAACCCCCCTCCACAGCCAGGGACCCCCCCGGCTATCCCCCCTCCCCAGCCAGGGACCCCCCCTCTAGCCAGGGACCCCTCCAGGAAACCCCCCTCCCCAGCCAGGGACCCCCACTCTTTAGACAGGGACCCACCCAGGGAACCCCCCCTTCCCAGCCAGGGACCTCTTTAGCCAGGAAACCCCCCCTCCACAGCCAGGGACCCCCCCCTCTAGCCAGGGACCCCTCCAGGAACCCCCCCTCCCCAGCCAGGGACCCCCACTCTTTAGACAGGGACCCCCCAGGGAACCCCCCTTCCCAGCCAGGGACCTCTTTAGCCAGGGAACCCCCCTCCCCAGCCAGGGACCCCCCCCTCCTAGCCAGGAAACCCCCCCCCTCCCCAGCCAGGGACCCCTCCAGGAAACCCCCCTCCCCAGCCAGGGACCCCCACTCTTTAGACAGGGACCCCCCCCAGGGAACCCTCCTTCCCAGCCAGGGACCTCTTTAGCCAGGGAACCCCCCTTCCCCACCCAGGGACCCCCCCTCTAGCCAGGGACCCCCCAGGCAACCCCCCCTCCCCAGCCAGGGACTGGGTCTGTCACGTGCTCCCGCCCCCCCCCCCGATAACCATGGTAACCAGGGAGGCCTGGGATTGGGAGTAGCCCCCCCCAGCCCTGCCGGCGCCCCCCACTCCCGCCCCGCAGCCCTGCCCCCCCGCCAACAGTATCCCTGGGGGGAGAGCCCAGGGCTGGGCTGGCGGGGGGCTGCGGGGCGGGAGTGGGGGGCGCGGGGGGGGCCGCGGGGCGAGAGTGGGGGGCGCCGGCGGGGCGGGGCTGCGGGGCGGGAGTGAGGGGCGCGGGGGGCGCCGCGGGGCGGGAGTGGGGGGGGCGGGGGGGGAGCCCTGGTGCGGGGCCAGGCTGGCTGCTGTCGGCTCTTAGCCCAGCGCCGGGCTCCTCCCCCGGCCGCCGGCCCGGTGCTTTCGGTTTCCGTTTCCCCCCCTCCGCCCCCGGGACCGCCGCGAAACCAGCCCGGCAGCTCCCCGGGAGCCTCCGGAGAAATGCTGTGAGCGGGGAGCCCGGACTCCTGGGTTCTCTCCCCGGCTGGGGGAGGGGAGTGGGGTTTAGCGGTTAGAGCAAAGGGCGGGGGGCTGGGAGCCCGGACTCCTGGGTTCTCTCCCCGGCTGGGGGAGGGGAGTGGGGTTTAGCGGTTAGAGCAAAGGGCGAGGGGGCTGGGAGCCCGGACTCCTGGGTTCTCTCCCCGGCTGGGGGAGGGGAGTGGGGTTTAGCGGTTAGAGCAAAGGGCAGGGGGGCTGGGAGCCCGGACTCCTGGGTTCTCTCCCCGGCTGGGGGAGGGCAGTGGGGTTTAGCGGTTAGAGCAAAGGGCGGGGGGGCTGGGAGCCCGGACTCCTGGGTTCTCTCCCCGGCTCGGGGAGGGGAGTGGGGTTTAGCGGTTAGAGCAAAGGGCGGGGGGGCTGGGAGCCCGGACTCCTGGGTTCTCTCCCCGGCTCCGGGAGGGGAGTGGGGTCTTGTGGCAACCCGGGCTGTGGGCCAAAGAAACCTCAATCCTGCCTCTTTTCCAAGCCAGCTCCTCCACCATGCAGAGCCTGGAGCTGCGGGAGCAGGACCTGACCGAGATGGGCTCCCTGATCCAGTCCCGCCTGGTTCTGGAGGTCTCCACCCAGGTCCAAACCCTGCTGGATTCGCTGGACTCGGCCACCCTGGACATCGCCGTGACGGGCGAATCCGGCGCTGGCAAATCCACCTTGGTCAATGCCCTCCGTGGCCTGAGTGACTCGGACCCCCGCGCCGCCCCCACCGGCGTCGTGGAGACCACCGCCGAGCCCACGCCCTACCCCCACCCCGGCCTCCCCAGCGTCCGGCTCTGGGACCTCCCCGGCATCGGCACCCCCAGCTTCCGGGCCGAGCGGTACCTGGAGCAGGTGGGCTTGATGCGCTACGATTTCTTCCTCCTCGTGGCTTCGGAGCGGTTCCGAGAGAGCCACGCCCAGCTGGCCCGGGCCCTGGCCGCCGCGGGCAGGCGCTTCTACTTCCTGCGCACCAAGGTGGATCAGGACCTGCGGGCGTCCCGCCGGCGCCGGCCGGCCCGCTTCCAGGAGGGCCAGGTGCTGGGCGAGATCCGCGCGGACTGCGCCCGCCAGCTGGAGAAGGACGGTGCGGCCGCCCCGCGGGTTTTCCTGCTCTCCGCCTTCCAGCTGCATCGCTTCGACTTCCCGCGGCTGCAGGCCACGCTGGCGGAGGAGCTGGCCGGGCACAAGCGCCACGCGCTGCTCCTGGCCCTGCCGGCCCTGACGGCCGAGGCCGTGGGGCGCCGGAAGGAGGCTCTGCGGCGCCACGTCTGGAAGAAGGCCCTGCTGGCGTCCCTGGTCTCGGCGCTGCCGGGGCTCCCGCTGCAGCTCAACGTGCCCATGCTGGTGGAGACGCTGGGCTCCTACCGCCGCAGCTTCGGCCTGGATGAGGAGTCCCTGGGGGGGCTGGCCCGGGTGGGCGCCGGCTCCCTCCAGCAGCTGCGGGCCCAGGTGCGCTCGGCGCTGGGCCGGGAGCTCTCGCCGGCGGCCGTGTGGGACGTGCTGAGCCAGGCCGCGCTCTGTGGGCAGGCGGCCGCCCGCCTGGCCCGCGCCCGCCTGCCGCTGCTGGAGAACCTGGTGGCCGGCGGCATCTCCTTTGTGGCCGCCTACTACCTGCTGCACAGTGCCCTGGAGGGCTTCGCCGGTGACGCCCAGCGGGTGCTGGAGGCCGCCTACGGGACAGGGGAGGAGGGGGAGCCTTGTGACCCCCCTGATCCCGGGTTCCTCTATGACTGAGGGACGGGCCCTGCTGGGTGAGGGGGGCTGCTGGAGGCTTAGTGCCCCCCCCAGCATCTGTGCCCTGCCCCCCCCCATCCTCACACCAGCTGCATGGGGGGGCCGGGGCTGGGAGGACCCCCGGTGGGGCCAGATAGCGCCAGGACCCCACAGCTCCCTGGAGAGCGAGGTGCATTGTGGGTAGCCTGGGAGGCATGTGCCACCATGGTTGGACCTCAGCAGAGCATTGAGGGAGGAGGTGGCCAGTGGGGGGGTGGGGTGGCCTGTGGGGCAGGATGATGGCTGGTGTGGGGACGGCCTCCTGCGCTGACGGGACGGGCACCGTCTGCTCCCCGTGGAGACGTGGGGGCCGTGCCTCCTTCCACCCGCGTCGTGGGCTTGTGCAAACCAAGGCCCGGTCTATGCAACAAATGTAGGTCAACGTAGCCAGGTTGCTGGGGGGCGGGAAGAACCCGCTTCCCCGAGCGCTGGGGCTAGGCCGACATAACCCTGGTGTAGACACCGCTAGGCTGATGGAAGGAACCTTCCGTTGACGCAGCTACTTGGGGAGGTGGCGTTCCTGTGGCGATGGCCAACCCCTTCCATTGCTGTCGGGTGTGACTACGGTGCAGGGTTAGGCCGGCATAGCCACGGCGTCCCAGCAACAGCGCTAACGCCCCGTAGGGTAGCCATGGCCCAGGGCGTAGGAGATGGCAGGAGGCAGAGGTGGGGGCGGAGCTGGTCGGGACTTTCCCAGTAGAGCAGCCTTCCGTCGGAAAACGGGCTCTTGTCGGAATCGGGACCGTGCCTGGGAACCTGACACAATTGTTCGTTGGGGGAAAAAATCAGGGAAAAAATCCCATTTTGATACGAGCGTTTGGATGTCTGGGTTCAACATTCTGGGTGGTTGTTTTCAATTTTTAACCATTTGTAGATGGTCAAAATTGGAAGGAAAAGTTTTGGTTTTATCAGATTTATTATATTGGATTTTTTTCCTTTTTGTTGTTTGTTTCTGATTTTAAAAACAATCAACATTGGAAAGATTTTGATTTTAGTGGGTTTTATTTCATTGGATTTGTTTAACTTTTCAAAAGCCAATATTGGAAGGAAACATTTCAGTTGTGTTGGATATTTTTGATTTTTTTAATTTAAAAAAAATCAGTATCAGAGGGAAACATTTTATTAGACTTTACTTGGTTGCATTTTTTATTTTATTATATTAACGTTTACATTTTGTAAAAGTCAAAAACAGAAGGAAACATTTTGAGTTTATTTTATTGGATTTTATCAGATTTTATTGTATTCAAATTGATTATATTGGATATCATTTGATCAGGTTTTTAAAATGTCATTGAACGGGAATGTTCCAATCAGCCCCAGACCGAAATAGTTTCCCCCAACAATTTAGTTTCATGGGGAAATTGTCAAATTTATTTCTGGTTTTCATCCTGATTCAGAACAAAACCAAATTTCAAAATATCCAAATTTCTCAGGGAGCAGAAATTCTGACTTTGGACCAGTTTCGTAGAGGAGCCAATCTTGGCCACAGGGTTTGGCTCGAGAGACGCTGGAGGGAGACGATACGCAAAGGCTGCGTCCCTCTCGCTGGGCTGAGAATTAGGCTTCTCTTTCAGTATCCAGGGTGTGGCTTGAATTGCGACCTCAAATCCAGATGTCAGAGCCCAAATTCAGAGCCATGATACAGGTAACCTCTGGATCTCTCACTTGTTACATTAACTGGACAGTGGTAACGAAATAGCCCCTTACTTTTGTAAAGCAAAGGATGTTTATTAAATAAAACCTCTGTTTTTCTCAGATGTTTATTGACGCGACTCTGAAGCTCTAACCTCCGTCGGGTAACAAGGACACCGGAGTTACAGCAGCTCACGCTGCACCGTTCTGGGCTGGGCTCGGGGAGCTCTTAGGGTCTCTCCCAGCCCTGCGTTTCCATGGATCGAGTCACATCCTGTCTGGGGTAGACTCCATAGGGTTATGGAAACCACAGAAACGTGGGGCCGGAAGGGACCTCGAGAGGTCCCCGCGTCCAGCCCCCGACGCGGAGGCAGGCCCGAGTCAACCTAAACCAGCCCTGACGGGGGTTTGTCCAACGTGGTCTTCAAACCCTCCAGTGATGGGACCCACAGCCACCCTTGGGAGCTGATTCCAGAGCTGCCCTGCCCTGGGAGTTAGAGAGATTTTCCCAACATCCAACCTCCATCTCCCTGGCTGCGGGTTAAACCTGTTGCTTCTTGTCCTGCCTTCAGTGCACATGGAGAATAATTGATCCCCTGCCTCTTTATACCGACCCTTAACATATTTGCAGCCTGGTCTCAGGTCCCCCCTCGGCCTTCTTCTCTCCAGACTGACCATGCCCTGGTTTTAACCTTTCCTCAAACCTTTGAACATTTCTCTTGCCCTCCTCGGGAGTCTCTCCAGTTTGTCCCCATCTCTCCTAAAGCACGGTGCCCAGAACTGGAGTCGCAGGGATAACGACTCAATGACCCAGGAGATCCAGTCCTACGTCCTATGATCAGTGTCAACCAGAAGTTTTGGGCTTGGTGAAGGAAGAATGAGGTGGGATTTTCCGACCTGTGCTATGCTGGATGGTCCCGTGTAGCCGTATCCAGTGGTTCCGCGTGGAAAGCGAATGGCCTCCCCTGACGTCTCCTGCTCCATCCGAGAGGGAGGGTGATACATGGAGAAGGTTCAGAGAAGAGCCACGAGAATGACTCAAGGGTTAGAAATAAACCTGCCTGCGAGTGAGAGACTTGAGGGGCGCCGTCCGTTTAGCTCAACGCAGGGAAGGTGAAGGGGCGACTTGATCCCGGTCTGTCAGTGTCTGCTTGGGGAACAAAGATTTAGTAACGGGCTCTTCCGATGGCTGGGAGCTGCAGCTCGACCAGTGCAGACTGGATTTCAGTCCGGACTGGATGTTTTCCTAGAAGCGCGGGCGGGCGGTATCATAGGCCAGGGCAGGCTAAGCCTCCCCTTACCCATGCTGTAGCCCTGCCCACGCTCCCCTTCTCCCCTGAAGGTGGCGGGGGCTCAGCTCTGCCGGCGACTTGGAGCTTGGCTCTTGGCTGTCTGGTGGCTTGGACCGGCCGGTGGCCAGGGTGGAGGGTCGGGGTGGTTTGGCTGGGGCTCCTCTGGCTGCGGTGGGTGGGGTGGGGCTCGGGGCTCTAGCAGGTGGGGGGGGAGAGGGCAGAAGGGGCAGGGCCAGGGGGCTGGCCTCCCTGAAGGGAGGGTTCACGCGCCACCCATGCCTAGAAGATCTGCTCTGGGAATGACTGTGGGGCAGGTCTCTGGCCTGTGCTATCAGCCGAGATGAACACAGTGGCCGGTTGAGTTACCCCCCGGAGCGTAGCTCTCCCAAGCCCGGGTGCGTCCCTCTGGAAAGGAGCGAGTCAGCAGTCGGTCTAGGGTTGCCAACACCCGGTCAAAAAGGGACCCTGGCAGCTCCTGGCAGCGCTGCTGACCGGGCTGGTATGTCCCTGTGGCCCTTAGGTGCAGGGGCGGCCATGGGGGCTCCATGCACTGCCCCTGTCCTGAGCGCCAGCTCTGCAGCTTCCATTGGCGGGGAACCGCTGCCAATGGGAGCTGCCAGGGCAGCACTTCTAGGCGAGGGCAGCGCGCAGACCCACCTGGCCGCGCCTCTGCCTAGGAGCCAGAGGACATGTTGCTGCTTCCGGGAGTCACCTGAGGTAAGCGCCACCTGGAGCCTGCACCCTGAACCCCCTCCGCACCCCAACCCCTTGCCCCAGCCTGGTGCCCCCACCTGCACCCCAAATCCCTCATACAGAGCCTGCACCAACAGTCAGAGCCTTCACTCCTTTCTGCACCCCAACCCCCTGCCCCAGCGTGGGGCCCCCTCCTGCCCTCCGAACCGCTCGGCTCCAGCACCGTTCCTGCACCCCAAATCCCTCATCCCCAGCCCCACACCAGAGCCCACACCCCCAGTCAGAGCCGTCACTCCCTCCTGCACCCCAACCCCTGCCCCAGCCCTGACCCCCCTCCCACACCATGAATACCTCATTTCTGGCCCCACCCCGGAACATGCACCCCCAGCCCAGAGCCCGTACCTCCTCCCACACACCCCACCCCCCTGCCTCAGCCCAGAGCCCCCTCCCACACTCAGAACCCCCCGGCCCCACCCCAGAGCTTGCACCCCCAGCTGGAGCCCTCAGCCCCCTGCATCCCCACCCCCTGCCCCGTGAAAATGAGCTCGTGAGCAAGGGAGGGAGGGAGGAATGGAGTGAGCGGGGACGGGACCTCGGAGAAGGGGTGGGGCCAGGGTGTTCGGTTTTCTGCTCTTAGAAAGTTGGCAACGCCGATGGAATCAGTCGGTGTTACGATGTCGGAGACGCAGCAGAGGGCGCTCTCTGCGCTCCGGGTCGTGGACCAGGCCCGTGTGCCAGCCTGTCACCAGAGGGCGTCGTGGCACCGATGAGCGGCTGGGGACCGATCCCCGGGCATGTTTCACACATCCGCGTGAGAGGCGGCAATTCCTCCCTGGGCACCTGTATTTCTCCCCCCTCCCTGCATTGCCACGGGCCCCTTGCGGAGCTTCGGCTCCCTGGCTTGGAAGCAGGGGATGCCCGGTGACCACCACGTCCCGGCACGATGGTGCCGTGGCTGGAGAGCGTCCTCAGCCACCTTCCCGGGGTGTGTGTGTGTGTGTGTAAGAGAAACGGCTTCTCCCAAGCTAGGGAGGTGAGCTGGATTTACAGGCCTGAATCCGCAGGTCCTCTAGGCCGGTTCAGAGTCACCTGTGGGGGTGGGTGGGCTGCAGGACTCCTGGGTTCTTGGCCACAGGCCGGCTGGATCCAGCTTGGGCAGGTCACGTCCCCTTTCTGGGCCGCAGTCTCCCCATCTGGAATATGGGGTGTATAACGTGCTCCGAGTCAAAACACAACATCAGAGTTGGATGATAAAACAGAGGTTATTGCACCCCAGCTACATGGACCCCCACTTCGAGGCCTCTGAATCTGGCAAAAGTGATGTACCAGCCTGTCCTTAAAGCAATCGAGGATCAGACTCAAAGAACCGTGGGCCGGAAGGGACTGCTCTGGCCATCCAGTCTGACCTGCTGTGTAACCCAGGGCAGAGAAATTCAACCAGGGATTCCTTCCTCGAGCCCCGGCGGCTTGGGGGCTGAACGCATATGCTACAGGCTGGGCCTCTTTTTTAGCTGAGGGTGCTTTTCTTTATGCTGATCGAAAGAGTTTGGTGCCGTCTTCGACTCCCACGGGCACCGCATTTCCGCTGTATCCGCTAGACCCCACTTCCCTCCCCAAACTGGACATAGCACCTGGGAGTCCTGGCTTCCTGCATGCCCCCCTGGACCACCAGACCCCATTCCCTTCTGAGGACTGGGCATAGAACCCAGGAGTCCTGGCTCCTAGTGCCCTCCCCCCCCTTTGGACTTTGGACTTATTTGGAACCTGCACAAATATTGATCCTTCCCCAGAACGGGAACCTCCCTGGAACTATGGAATTTAAAACAATAGGAACTAGACACGAGAAGCCATAAAAGTTAAACAGTAAAAGCTGAACCCACAGTACCAGGCCCAGGGCCTCCTACATCCAGAAAAGACGCCCCACAAGGCCAGGGGATCTGTACTGCATTCCTATGTCTTGGCAATCGCAGCCGTGGGACCTTTGGTTTTCCCTGGAGGACACCCTTGGAGGTCTCGGAGATGTAGCTTGTCACCGAGCAGAGAGAGTCAATGGGGCCAGACCCCCAGCTGTGACGGGCCGTGGTCCGGTGAGGAAGTCTTTGATGAGTGGACGTAGATCTAATGTCCTATGGAAATCCCCCGGTGGATTCCAGATGATGGGCACTGACAAGGAAGGAGTGGCCAGAACAGGGTCAAAGAAGAGTGACGAGAATGAACGAGGGCTGGAAATCCCGCCGTAGGATGAGAGGCTCAGGACGCGCCAGCTTTTTAGCTTACACAATGCAGCATTGTCGGGCTGGAAGGGACCCAGAGAGGTCGTCACGTCCAGCCCCCGGCGCTGAGGCAGGACCGAGCCAACCTAGACCAGCCCTGACGGGGGTTTGTCCAACCTGATCTTCAAACCCGCCAATGATGTGGAGCCCAGGACCCCCCTTGGAAGCCGATTCCAGAGCTGAACTCCCCTGAGAGTTATCCCTAAAAATCGAACCCAAATCTCCCTGGCAGAAAACGAAACAATTCTTTTGTCTCCCCCTTGGGGGACACGGAGAACAATGGATCCCTCTCCTCGTTCTAACAGCCCCGACCATAGATCTGACAACCTACCAGGTCGCTCCTCAGTTGTCTTCTCTCCACGCTAACCAGACCCAGGGTTTTTTAACCTTTCCTCACAGGCTGGGTTTTCTAAACCTTTCATCCCTTTTATTTCTCTTCTTGGGACTCCTCCCAGTTTGCCCACATCTTTCCCAAAGTGCGGGGCACATGCTGGACACGGGACTCCAGCGGGGGCCCCCCGGGTGGGACAATTCCCTCCCGTGTCTAACATCCGACGTTCAGGGTAATCCGCCCCGGAAGGACAACGGCCTTGTTTGCGGCTGCATCACGCTGCTGCTGCCGGCTCCGTTCGGGAGCCGCCGTCGTCCCTAGAGCCTTTTCGGCGGCACTGCGGCCCAGCCGGTTATGCCCCGCGATGGCCTGTCCCTGCCTTTTGGCTTGCTGCCGGCTCTGCTTGGAATAATCAGACTTTCCCGTTGATTTCTAGGGGTGAATTCACGTCGGGGAGGGGGTTCCTGCATGGTGCGTGAGCGGCCAGAGGCCACGGTGATGGGCATTTCAGAGAGGACCAAATTCTCTGTTCCCCC